GAGTATACTTGCAACACAATCAATAGAACAATCGACAGCCGGCAAACCGGCAAACCGGCAATCAATTAAGTTTCATTTCAATTGCAAAATGGGAAATGGGAAAAATGAATTCAACTGTTCTTTAATTGGAACGCCCCCCACATTATTCCAAGCCCAGGGACAACCAAGGACGAATGAGCAAGGACCACCACCACCACCACCACCACGACCACACCCACGCCCCCCTGTGAACAGTGGCTATTACAACTTTTGGGATACCCCTCTAATTGGATTTATTTCGGTATCTATCCAAAAAGGGTACTCGCACTGTGATAGTTATGTGTCTATAGATGGTCTAAGGTGCAAAATTAAGGATCCATATCCTTAAAATTCTCGATGCCTTTGCTGAAGAAAGTGTTGCCAATGTGTCCGTTCGCTTATGGGAAAGTTGGCGGCTCTCTAAGCAGTATTCAGATGATGAAACGACACCAGAACGAGGCAAAAGTCAAAATTTTAATGAAAATTCCAGGTGCAATTCATAAGATGAACGAATGAATGGGTGGATGAATGGGTGGATGGGTGAATGGGTGTATAGGTGGGTTGCCTGGTTACTGTTGTGATTGCATTCACGATGGTGGTGCACATCCTGCCGACCAGACCCCACCGTTTGCTGCCCTGTTCGGTTCTCCCTTTGTATTTAGGTTTTAATTAATTCTCAACAAATGTTTCCCGCCGCTGGCTCCAGCGTCAGCCTCCAACCCCCCGCTGTTTGCTTATGAATTTCACTTGGGCTTGAGCTTGAGCTTGAGTTTCCCAGGGAAAACTTTACCCGTCGCAACACACACAGATGCCAGATTCTAATGGCCTTCTCGAGAGAGCGAGAGAATCTACCGAGGGACGAGAGAAGGTCTAAGAAGGGACTCGAGTGCGAGTGCAATTGAGCGGCAATCGAAGATGCAATTGCAAATTGCAAAATTACCCAAAGTGGGCGGGTGAATGTTGATGCACTCTCGCAGAGTGCAGAAGGGGAGGGGAGGGGCGGGATGGGGATAGCGGGGCAGTGTGGCACGAGGGGCACATTACTTTGTCTTGCCTTTCGGTTTTCATGGCAATTAAGCCCCAGGAACAAGGGCGGGGAGGGCATGGCCTCCGAGGCATGCCGATAACAGGTATCCAATGCATACAGGTATTCCATAGGAATTCCAATGACGAGGAGGCTCTACCTCTCTCTCTCTCCCTCTCTCTCATCGTGTCTTTCTTTGGATTTTCGCAAATTTTCCGTCGCTTTTCTTTCGTTTTGGTTTTCATGGATGGCTTATCCCTACCACAATCCATGATCAGCTTTGAACTCGATTTCTGCTGTGGACCTGGTATTCTATGGCTTACCTGCTGCTCCTCCCAAAAGGCAGGAATGAATCGGTTCTTCCAGTTCCAATTATACTTCCATTTTGAAGATGCATTACTGGTGGATTCCCATCGGTAATCAGTGTGGCAGGGCAACCGCAGTACCAGTCCACAATTAGCTTGGAATCGAGTTTTGTTCTCTTCTGTCCGTCACACCCACAAATTCTGGTCTACCTGCTGCCGCTGCTGCTGATGCTTCATCGGCAAGTGGGGAGTGGCCGTGTGGCAGAGTGGGGTCCCAGATTCCAGATCCCAGATCCCAGGGCGGGAGTGACTCATGCTCATGCCACCACCAATACTCGTTGCCACAATGAGAACAACTTCCGCCTGTGGCAGGGCCAGAGAACAGTACAGAAAATAAGCCTCTTCCGGTCCACACCCTCGACAGCGGACTGCTATCAGGTGCAAGTGTGGCAGCCACTTGTTGCAGTCGCAAGCTCTCAAGCATGAACTCTGCCACAACAACAAAAATGTTGATCATCGTTCGAATGAGGGGGCGCCGCCGCCAAGGGACTGTGGGTGAAAGCGGGATGGCTTATCAGTCGCTACCCCAGTCCCTGCCACGGCTCATGCCTCCACTTCTCTTCTCTTTCGCTCTCCGCTCGATGGCCAGAAACAATTAACTTGTCGCATGTTGCTGTCGTGCCACATCGGGGCAGCGGCCACAATGCAGAATGTGTGTCGCTGTTCTGGTCATTTGCTGATATGACAAGAGACATATGCAATCACACAGATACACAGATGCACAGATGCACAGATACAGATACAGATACACAAAAGATAGAGAGCGACAGAGACACACAGAGACACAGATACAGCGATGGAAATGCAAAATACATATAATGGCTTCCCCGTGTATCCGTGTGTCCTGCATTTATCTCTTATTTATATCTTTCCGTACCTCTGCTGCTGCCGCTGCCGCTGCCTCTGGCTCTGCCTCCACCGCCTTTCCTCTCTGTCATACACGGCGCGAAAAAACCCACTGAAAGCATAATGAAAGACACCCATGATGGTAGAGGGCCACCTTTCCAGATGAAACTGGTTCCGCTAGTGATGACACTTTCGATTTATATGCCACCTATCGATATCTTTCCTGCCGCTTGCTTATGGGAAATTTCTACAGCAGTTCTTTCGTTTCTTTTTGAGTGGAGTGTTGCATTTTCTTGAAGCTGGAGATCCGGAAAGTGACTCTTTGTTTGCTTCAGTGTAGCAATGGAATGGTCTCGTCATCATGCATACATATTGTATGTACATACTCTTTCCCGGGTCCTGTGGCCCTCCATCCTTCCGCGGGTGTTGTGTGGCTGCCTAATGCCAGAGCCATCATCGATGTGGAAGCGTTTCGGGTCGTGTCGTGTAGGGTAGGGTCTGGCCATTGCCCACTTGACGACTGACAGCTGTGGCAATTGTTGTGCTTTTTCCGTGTGCCGTGCCGTGCCATACCGTGCTCTCTGCTGTCTGCTCTCTGCTCTCCGGCCTGCCCATCCCAATGGGTTATTGATGATCCCCGGGCTAGCGGATAGTGGGCCAGCGGGATTAGTGGGTCGTCTGTCTGTCCGAGAGAAAGAGAGAGGACGAGAGGACGAGAGGAGATTGCCTGCCATGGCACAGATACCCGTACAGCCAACCATGTATTTGTCCATTAGCCGGACATCAATCATGATAATTGCCTTCTGCTGCTGCCTGCCCGGCTGCCCGGCTGCCTGGCTGCGAGATTTGCGTTTGCGTTTGCGTTTACGTTTGCCGAGGTGATTGTCAGCCAGCTGCCGGCTTCGAAGCTACATAATTGAAATGTCCACAGCAATGAGCACCAGCACAGCAATGAGTACCGCCGTCTCCTTTATTCATTAATTCCAATGATCCACTAACGGGTTCATTCGATTGCTAAATGAATGCTAGAACTCACCTTTTAACACCAAATACCCTACAAATGGCAATTCAGGAAGAAACAGGAATGCACTGTGCATTTTTCCATTTGTTTCCCACCACGATCGATTATTTTCGCTATCGACTATCGACATGGCGATCGGCATCACAGCAGCAACCGCCTTTCTTTGTCATAAACGCTTTGAAGGACAATGCCAGGACGACTGTCCTGCATGCTCCACAGAGTCCCAGGCTAAACATTCTGAAAAGATATTATTTGTCTTCAAGAACCAGTGGAAACCGGTGGGTTCTTTTTTATTGATTTAATCGACTTTATCGATTTCATTATTCTTCAATTATCGAAAAATATCGTTTTACCGATGTGTTTCATCTTTTTCCTCTACGTCTCGTTGAGCGTCTTTCTGCTTTCCTTTTCCTGTCCTTCTTGCTGTGTTCTCTCGTTTTTGTCGTTGTCGTTGTTGTTGCAAGTTGCTGTTGTTGCAAGACCTCGGGGTAGGTGCAGCAAGGTCTGTTCTTGATGTCAGAGCCAAAGGCATTTTAATTCGTTTATGGTTCCTCCACTGTCCCCTCTCACGCTCATATTCCCCCCTCGCTTTCGCCCCCTCCGCTTCTCTAACGCCTTGCCGTTGGCTGCTGGTGTTACGCAAATTGAATTGTCTCGCCCGTTGTCTCGCTGGATGCCCCATGCCCCATGCCCCAAGCCTTGTCTTGGCCATATATATAGTTCTGCCTTCATTCCGCCAGAAATCGGTTTTTAATGCATTCCCTCATCGATTGAATGGCAATGGAAGGGATGGCATTCTATAAATAGAATTAAGAAAATGGAACACTAGGGCGGGGTGAAGGGGGGTGGGAACAGGAACAGGAACAGGAACCGGAACAGGACATTTCTTTACTGGACAGAGGATGTCGGAGGCGGTGATGAAGATGAAAATGGAGACGTCTCTCTCCAGTGAATGACGTTCATCAAGAGCCAGTGCGTGGGCGGAATCAGTACTTTGTGGGTGGGTGGTTTGTGTGTGTGTCCTGCACTTGTCAGGATATAACAGACCCAGTTGCAGGAATAACTTTTGTCGTGCAACGTGTTGCAGCAAATTACTAATGGGTGAAGGGACAAGCTCAGGAACAGGCCCAGGACCCACCATCAAATCCACTTTTGCAATTAGCCCCCAGGCTTTCTTCTTCGCTTTAGAAAAACTCCATAATCCAAAAGTCGAACAAATTAAGGCGCAAATTGCCTTTTCACGAAAATGAAAAGCGGTCAGAGATGGTTCACGAAGGAGGGCGAATGCTAAGGGTACAGGGGGAAGGGTGAGGGTAAAAAAAACCTCAAAACTTTGACAAAAGCTGGAAGGGGTCCAACCCCTTCTCATAATTGAAAACTTTTTGAAATATCAAGGACCACCTCTTGCAGCGCCCACTCCCCATCACATTGTCGGTCTTTTATCTTTTTTCAACAGCCACACAGTGCAGCTCAAACTGTGGAGTATGTGCTAAGAACCTGTGTGTGTGTTTGAGAGTCTGTCGAATGTTGCAGGAAAGGAGAGATAGGGATCCCCTATGGGAAATCGAGAAGCACAAATCGTAGCTTTTGCCGTGACTCTATCCCCCCAGGGGGGGGAGGAGGGGGTGGGCCACGAGCCCTCGTTCCTGTTTGATTTGATTTTCCCTCGCATTTTTCTTCACTAATGCAATTCCCTTTGCTCATTTCCATCAATTCCCTCGAATAGGAACCGCCGGCGCTCCGGCTCAAGCATAGTTGTCCTGGACGGTGATGATCTGAAGCCATGTCTCCCGGATGATTATATAAGTGGACAGCATCATCATTTACAACAGCAACAGCAGCACCAACAGCATCCACACCAGCAGCAGCAGCAACAGCAACAGCAACAGCAGCAGCAGCACTATCGCACGCATTCGAGCGACATAAGAGAGATTGACCAGGAAATGCTGACCATGCTGTCCGTGAATCAAGATAACGGTTAGTATATATACGAATCCTTATGTTTGTTTTCGCTATCTTTATTTGTGGATCTCTTTCATAATGTAGGACCACATCGTGAGATGGCCGTCGATTGTCCGGACACGTTCATAGCGCGCAACAAGACGCCACCCAGATATCCGCCACCCCGTCCACCGCAGGTAAGCAACAGAAACCACCATCCACCGAAGGCCAAATGCCCAAAAGCCAACCAAAAAACCCACCCACCAACCAACACTAACAACAGCACCACTAAAATACCACTAAGCCACTTGTATTGTTGATAATAACCAACATAATGTAAGGTAGAGCCACCCCCCCCCGGACCCAGTAGTAGAACCTCCCCGGCCCCCCAATACAGCCCAAAAGAAGATGTTCGTCACTAAACCAAAATAACAACAATCTAAATAACAACAACCACTCCTCGCTTCATTCCACACTCACTCACATTCACATGTCATGCATTCTCTTTTCAAAACAACAACAACAACAACAAACCTGCACCACCATCCAACAACATGCACCACTAAAACCACACATACCCACACAAAACACTCATGCATACACACACAGAAACACAAAACCACCAAGAAAAACACCAACACCACCACCACCACCAAGAACACCACCACAACCACCACCATATCGACATTCCATAATGATGATCATGCTAACAAACTGTTAATTGTTGCATATCATTCTTCACATCGACATGAACAACAACAACAACAACAACCACAACCACAACAACAACATAAACACCATCATCAACACACATCAACAATTGTTGCAACCATCGATGATGATGTTGCCACACAAAATCTGTACAATCAAAAACAACAAAATAAATTGGAACAAATCGAAAACTATGAAAATTGCCTACAATCGGAACAACAACCACCACAACCACAACAACAGACAGCGGGGGCAGTTGCGGCAACAACAACAACAACAACAACAACAGCCACAAACACAACCACACAAGTGGCAGAACAGCAGACGCCATGCAACAATAAAATGCAACAAAAGACAACGAGCAACAGCAGCAACAACAACAGCGGGAGCGGTAGCGGTAGCGGTAACGGCAGCAGCAACATGACAGATGACTTCCTCTGCGTGGTGGATGGCGGCCTCTATCGCAGCCAGGACTCTGGCTCGCCCACGTCGACAGGCACCTTCGACGAGGTCCTGAGCAAGCATACCCTGGACTCCTTCGGCAGCATTGCCTACCGCCACTTGCACCAGCAGCAGCCGCAGCAACAGCAGCAGCAGCAGCAACAGCAAGCGACGAGTAACGGCAACAGCAATAGCAGCGGATGTGGAAGTGGAACCACTGCCACGCCCAGCAAGGGGCAAACGCCTGTGGACGATCAGACCTTGGCCAGCAGCAACACGTGCCACACAAGCAACACAAGCAACAGCAATTCGCTGAACAGCAGCAACAGCTCCATGCACACCAGCAACAGCAGCACCAGTCACATTGCAAGTGCCGCCTCCTCCTCGCTGACGGCCCCCACCAGCATTAGCAACAGCAACAGCAACAGCAGCAGCGGGGACAGCAACGGGAGCAGCTCGACCGTGCCCGATGACCTAAGCCTTGCCCCACCCGGCTATGAGCCAGTGGTGGCACTGCTGCCACCCCTGCCACCGATGACCAAGCACCGGGAGCTGCCCGTCGATGTGCCTGACAGCTTCATTGAGATCGTGAAGACGCCGCCGCGATATCCGCCGCCGGCACATCTCTCCTCGCGCGGATCGCTGCTCTCCAATGGCAGTGCCTCCACGGCCCAGACCACGCTCTCCTCGCTGCCTCCTGCCCCTGTTGCCGCTGTGGGGCCTGCCACTGCCGCTGTCGCTGCCACTGCAAGTGCAACTGCAACTGCTGGTGGCGGTGGGAGTGTCAGTGGCATAGGCGGCGATGCGAAGCGGGTGTCTGATGAGGTATACCACATTGTATTTGTACTTTGAATTGAATCTTTCTGCATAGAGCTTGTCACCCCGCTCTTTCTTCCTCTCTATCTGTATCTCTCTCTATCTTTCTCTCTGTATCTGTATCTGTGTCCTCTGTTTCCCTGTGTCTCATTTTCTCTCCAAGTTTCTCTCTGTCGTAGTTTCTCTTTGATACCTATGTATATGTTATTGTAAGTGTGTAGAATATTGTGTGTCCCTGTTAATGACGTTAATTTATCCTCTGTGACCCAGGAATCCTGTCAGAACCGAAAAAGTATTGGTGTATACGATGTGTGCCATCATTTCAAATCGATTGTTAATCGAAATATATCGATTGTATATCGAAGCAAGTATTTTTCAAGAGTAGATAGCCCACGGATAATACCATGTTTTTTGACTAATTAGCGTTCCCCCACCATCGCATCAACCACCACGCATTAAGCAGGTCGGACATTGTCCCACAGTTGACCCCGAGGCGGCATGTGGCATGTGCTATGTGGCACACACCGAACCCAACCCCTTCGAAATCGGTTGGCCTAATTCGTGGCATTAGAGCCGCAGCACTGGCCTCGTTAGCAGCGGCCTAATCTAAACATAACCAGAAGAGGACCAGGACCACCCCCCTGTACAGCCACCCTCTTACGGCCAGTAGCGGGCGGTTGGGGCTCGGCTCCCTCCCGCCAGGCCGCCGGGCCGCTGGGCCGCTGGGCCGCTGTGCTCTGTCCCTCTGCTTATTTTTAATCATTTGCAGCTCTCTCGTTCTTTGGCTCTCTCGCTCTCCCCTGAGCACTCTCTGAGCTCTTTCAGGCGATGAAAAATAAATGCCATTTATATGAAATTGCTCTCGATTAATTTTCCAATGGCTGCAGAACAAAAGCGGAACAGAGACAGACGCACAGAGAGAGATAGAGAGAATGAGAGAGAGAGAGAGAAAAAAAAAGGAAAAACGCTTTTCCTTTCACTCTTGCTTTAACAGTATTTGTATCTCTAGTCTGTTGCTGTTGCTGTTGCTGTTGCTCTTACAGTTCTTCCCCCCTTTACAAATCTTTTCTTTTATTCATGGCTTTGGCAGCACAGCTGACAGACAGACACACGGACACACGGACAGACGGACAGACAATGCACTGAATGAAAGGAATCAAGAGAGTAATTGCATTTATTTTCCAAGTGTATTCCATCAACTCCCCGACCCGAGTCTCCTCCTTCACCAAGCTCCAAGCTCCATGCTTTAAAGCTCTTTGAGCCAAGCAAATGACACCCTCAAAACTTTATGACCAATGTGGGAGGAAGTTTAGATTGTCTCTCCCTTTCGAGGCTTCTGCCAAGCAATGGTTCCCATGGCAGCTATACGATATGCCCCCGAGTGGTTCGAGGATGGGCAAGGGACACCCATCCCATCCATGGAATGTTCGGTCGGAAAAGAACAGAACACAAGGATCTTAGATATCCGGCAAGGGACCAGCGATGGTTCCCATGGCACCCACTCACTTGATTTGCGAAAGGATTATGCTGGGAATTATTCAAGGCCGTCTGCCGCCTGTCGTCTACTGTCTGCCGTCTTTAAGGCTTTCATAATTTATTTCTCAATTTAAATGCCACTCGTACCTCGGCTCCATTAGCAGGACATTTATTGTTTTTGCATTCTCGGCCATTCTCCTTTGCACATTTCGCTGGTGCGGCGTCTGGCTGGCGTCGGTTTTCGATGAATACATTTTGGGGCAATTGCAGCAAGGACGTACCCCTTATGGTCCAAGGATGTCCCCAAGCATCAGATGCAGCCACCTATCCGAGGGCTCCCAGAGGGTAACTCCTTCAAAAGGGATCCAATATAACCCGGGTAGCAATGCAATGGGTTTTTCGTTTCCCATGTCTCCCGTGTCTCCTGTCTATCATTCATCTTGCGGGGGAACGGGGGCGGGGCTTGCACCTAACACAGAACACACAAAATCCATTAAAAAATTAATTTAAAAAATCATCAGTCACACACAGAAACATACAACTACACACACACACACACACACAAACTGAAACATACAGACATGCATACATATGTTCAGGAAAAACTGATGTGAAAAATCGCGTTTTCCCACAGCTCAATGGCAATGCCAAGCCCGTGCCACCGCCCCGAGATCATCTACGGGTGGAGAAGGACGGCCGGCTGGTCAACTGTTCGCCCGCCCCCCAACTGCCGGATCGTCGGGCAGCTGGCAACGGCAACGGCAGCAGTGGCAGCCACAGTCAACAACACCACCTGCAGCAGTTGCACCACCAACAGCAGCAGCAGCATCTGCACCACCAGCAGCAGCAGCAGCAGCAGATCGCCCAGATTGTGGAGCCCACGCTGGAGCAGCTGGACAGCATCAAGAAGTACCAGGTGAGTGGAGCTCTGAATATCCCATTAGCTGTCCGTCCCACTGTTGAAGAATTTTTAGCAGCGCCTGGGGGTAGGCTATGGAAATTGTCAACTGCCAAGACACTCTACCAGTGAATGTAAAACTGTCGATACCTTTAACTCCCACGGGGCAGCAGCCAAAGTCAAAGGGTTATTCCCACAAAATGGTTCTGAAACATGAGCATGTGTTCCATATTCCACGAGTATATTGAAATCACCATTTCCACTGCTTTGGTGTCTTTTAAGTGGAAATAGTTTGATGGTGTAATGTGCAAGAAATTCTTATTCTTAGAGGTGTGAGATTGTATGTACGGATGGAGGTTGTACCTACATTTTTTGACGGTCAGACACCAATAGTATAGCAGGATTTCGGAACGTGTACCTCTAGCTATGCTCTAACTAGCTCGCCGGAATGTCGTGGGATCTTTCCTACTCTCCTAATTGCCATACGAACACATTCGCAAAGATGTTTTAGGTACACTTGATTTAATGTTCAAAAGGAACTCTATAAAAGAAATCAAAAAAAAGAAAAGAATGGGAATTTTAACTAACTGGCTAACCGACTACCGACAAATAGTCAGACTATATTCCGCCGCTCTCGGGGAACTCAGATGACTTTGACCCCTTCTCTACCCTCCCTACCTTTAGTATGCCGTTTAATCGACAGCATAACCCTAATCAAGCGTATCTCTATTCGATCATCGGACTGCCTCAGGCTCTACTCAGGACAAACACAAAAGGTTTAATGTTCCATTATTATCTACTAATTATTATTTAATAATTCAAAATTTACGGGTTTGGACTTCATGATTTTCTGGATAAACTTAATACAACTTAATCAGATAAAGAAAGAGGAAATAATAACAAATTTATATCTAGTTATAAATGTATATGTATATGTATATAGGACTTAGGTGTAGAGAATATGGCGTAAAAGAAATTAAATTGGAAAGAATAGAAAAAAATATGATAATAATATAAAAAGAAGGCAAACGTGAAAGAAAAATTACTAGCCGATCGGCTTTAATTATCGCACGTATGTATATGGTTGTTCAACATACCGCAATAGAAGTTTTACAAGACGTATATATATACTTTGAAAATACCCGAGATCTCCGTTTAAGGAAGCTCGTAACTCACTCATACTTTATACGAAATATCCGGCGTGTCCGTTGAGCTCAAGGGGCGACGTGGAAACATATTCTGAGGAAAGGAGAAAAATTATGAATATACATGTCTTCACTTCTAATTCGGACGAAACACCGATTTTATCATTTCCATACCAGTTTGACGACGATTTGCAACTTAACGGCTGATCTTAAAACTAGGTGGCTTTCACTTGCGCTGATTTCAATTATGGGTCATTATATACATTGTTTGTTTTTCTCTTAACGTCTATACAATACAGAACTAAGATGAATAGCTAGTACGGAATTTAATCTTTAATAAAACAAAGAAAATGGAAAATCTCATAAATAGACTCAAAATTGATACTTTGGTACATTTTTTGATACGACGACTGTTAGCCGGCAGTGTGGATCGCAGCAGAATAATGTTTTTATTTCCCCAGTTTGGAAACCACTACACACACAACGAAGAAACTACGTGCGAAAGCTTTAGCCCCGCGCTTAACTCGTAAGCGAGAAGGGTGACGAGTGCGGCATATTAGTTTCTCCGAATTCGCCAGAAAACCATTCTTGTCGTCTTACTCCAAGAAGTACATCAGTTTAAGTATGCATCCACATAACTTCAAGTTTCACTCAAGTATATCTTCGGGCGGCTTTTGCTAGTTTATTTGGTTGTAGTTATCGTTGGTTTATGTAGATGCTGGTCCCTGGGAAATCCGAGGTCTTTCCCAGAACTATTAAGAAATCGATGGACTTTGACGGCTTCGTTATTGGAGGGGTCAATTGGTACTTTTTTTCTCTTTCCCGATGTCGAACGTAGTAAGATTTCCAGTCCTAGGATACAAGACTGTTAAAACTGTTTCACTATTGTACGATTCAAATACCTCTTGTCTTCTTTAACCCAAACCGAATAATACAATCCACCAGAACTTCAATTTAATTGGCACGTGTTTGATTGCACAACGTTTTCAAATTCACTGGATATATATATATATATTGGCATAGAAAAATACCTCCGAGTTCGTACAGCTTCACTAAAGCAATGATCCATCTAGAAGTTTTATCACTAGCATTAGCCCTTGCGATCGGAACTTTACCTTCCACAACCAACGGGGAAATCATACGATTTCTAGTGAAGCTTTAAAACATAACTCCCACAGAACCACGCTGCTTCTCTCAATTAGATCTTAAGCTCTTCAGTGAAAGCTTTAAATACTTCTCTCTTATAATCAATCTCTTATCTTGTTTTAAAAAAGAAGAGTTAATGTTGAACGCGAGGGCAATACTTCCCAAACTGTTCGCTGGAGTTTTAGAGTCACAACTGGCCACTACAATGGTTTGACCCTTGAAAAGAATGTCTTAAACGAAGTACCCCGAAAGAGGCTGTAATCAGTCTAAGTATCCTAGATGTATCCTAGAATCCTGTGTGGGGATCATCTGTGCTGTGATCTACTGTACCTCCACAATGTCACTCTCAAACTGTTGGGCAGGCAGGTCAGTCTTTCCATTTTTAGCATTTGTGCTTTTGTGGGCCCCGTTTGCTGCCTCGTTGGAATGCATAACATGTAGCCATTACCTTCCCATACGCCAACTACTCTCTCCACTGTCCACTGTCCCCCGGGCACCCCCTACCCTTTCGACTGACCAAAGAACAAACTGTTTTTTTTTTTGGTGTTTTTGCTTTCTGTGTGTGTTTGGGGCAACACTTCCGGTTCGTTTGCTGTTGTTCTCTTCTTTTGTTTGTTCTTTGTTGCCCAGTTTTATGGACATTGACCACGACAGCCACGTGTAGTGGCTCTCAAACTTTAAGCTGTACTTAAACAGAGAGCAGGGTGTGGCGGGATTTGGCTGGCATCGGGAATTCTGATTTGCCGCGACCCCTGCACCTGGGCCCCCATTGCATTTAACTAGTAAAACTAATAAGAAACGAGGGGGAACGTTGTGAGTTGCTGCGGACACCGCAACTCTACAGTTATACCCGATACTAAGTCAGTATGGCTCTCCTCCGGCAGACGCCGCTAATATTTAACGACACGACAAAGAGTGCGTGCGAGAGAGACAGAAAATCAGTCTGAGCGTGACGTCGGGCGCTGCGTAGCCACTGCAAAATGATTTGTTCCTTTTGGCTAAAAAAATGGTCTGATCTGATCCAGATTCAGCAATCTAATAGATATGGTCATTATCTATGATTCTGCGTTTTTAGTTTTCTCAAATCTGCAATATTGTGGATGCAACAGATTTTCGTCCTTTGTGGGGGCGGATGGGGGTGGGGCGAAATTCTGAGATATACGTTTTATAGTGACATCTTAAAGGAGTGTGTGCACCAAATTTGGTTACTCTAGCCTTAATAGTCTCTGAGAATTGTGGTTGCCTCAGATTTTCGTCCTTTGCGGGGGCGGAAGGGGGTGTGGCGAAATTTGGACAGGAAACGGTCAAGGTCCGATATCACAGGAGTGTGGATACCAAATTTGGTTGCTCTGGCTTTTATAGGTTCTGAGATCCTTGAACTCATATTTTGCAATTGGCAAAACCGACCATGAAACCTGTGTGTTAGAGTGAGACAGAGCGAGAAAGAGTGAAATTGTTTTCGTGATTCTGGCTGTAATAATTATACGATCTGGTTCAGATTTTGCACTCTAGAAGATATAGTCATCTTCTACGATTCTGCGTTTTTAGTTTTCTCGTATCGTCGAAATTGTGGATGCCACAGATTTTCGCCCTTTGTGGGGGCGGAAGTGGGCGGGGCAAAGTTTTGAAATATTTTTGGAGCAGTGACATATCACAGAAGTCTGGATCCAAAACATCGTTGCTCTAGCTCTTATAGTCTTTGAGCATTAGGCGCTGAAGGGGACGGACAGACGGACGGACGGACAGACGGACAGACGGACGGACGGACAGACAGACATGGCTCAATCGACTCGGCTATTGATGCTGATCAAGAATATATATACTTTATGGGGTCGGAAACGATTCCTTCTGGACGTTACACACATCCACTTTTACCACAAATCTAATATACCCCAATACTCATTTTGAGTATCGGGTATAAAAATAAACTTTTACCGCGCCACAAGAATATACCAACAAAGGGCGGGCCGTGGCATGCTGGATTGTAATGCCAGAGCGGGCAGTGGAAAGGGGGGATGGTAGAAGCGCGTAACTGTTTATACGGAACTACGGCTTAAAGGCATGGGGCATGGGGAGCAGGGGCGGCGTGAAAAAAAGTTGCCCAACAACTTTTTCCTTTGGGAAAAGCAGTGGGTGGAGCGGGCTGGAAGGGGGGAATGTATGTGTGTTCAGAGGGGTATATAGGAGGGTAATGTGTGTGTGTGGGGTGGGGGGGTTCTGCTGTCCAAAGCGGAAGAAAGGGAAATTATAATGCTGCTAAAAAGTAAAACATTTCGCATTCATTTGGCTGCCTGCAAGGCATGTGGCGGTGGGCGGCGCAACACAGCGGTGGGTGGGTGCTGCAACAGGGGGGAGTTATGCGGGGCGGGATGGGGCAAAAAGTTGTTGAATGCAATGATTAATTATGCAACTTTTTAATCGAATTGTCTCATTCCGCCTGCGGACATCTCTCTGAAAAATGACACCCTCTTATTTTTGGCCGTTATTCTGCGTGTGAGTAGGCGTGGCAGTGCCAAAGATAAATGCATGTAATTAATTGAAAACCGAAAGGGAACACAGGGGAAAACAATTTAACAGAAAGTTGAGAGAGATGAGGGAGTAAAAGGACTTTGGGTGGATGGATGTCACACATTGGCTTTGTATGGACTTCATTGCGATTAGTCTGAAGATGGGATGAACAGAATCGGAAAACTGACGATCGATGATTATCGATAGCTGGCGTTCTAT